AAACACCAGCTGTATTTGAAAACACTTACTGTAGCCGCTAAATAAATGAGAAGAGCCGAGTTTCAGAAAAGAATGTGAGAGAGTAAGGGTAAGCAGGAGACACAGTCAAGCAGCATGCGTCTCACAGAGAAGACAGAGCGATCACCTCAGACACACAGGACACTGAATTCCAGAAAACCTGAAGACCACCACGGCATACCCAGCCCAGGGCACTCAACAAGTGGTTTGGGAAAGGGGGAGAGATTGCAAATTGAAAAAATGCAAGCACTGTCCCCTCTCCAGCCCGTGAGAGCATGTTGCATTTCTATATGGTTCCCACGCCATCACATGTGAGCACATGAGAGGTTTCCGTGCTCTCGAACATGCAAGCACAGCATGCATGCTATACTGCGTGCCACAGTCCATATTCAGCAGTAGAAATTTGAATTTCCACAAGGTCATTTGTGTTAGCATAGTAAGATAATGAAGGAAGATTTTTTTATCATTTAATTAGCTATATTTTTCTTTTTATTTTTTTTATTTACTCTTCTCTCATATAATACATCCCAACTGCAGCCTCTCCTCCCTCTGCTCTTCCCAGCCCCCACCTCCCCTCTCCACCAGGTCCAATGCTGCTCCGTTTCCCTTCAGAAATGAGCAGGCCTCCCAATGATAGCAACAGATATGATCTAACACGTTACAATAAGACTAGACCCAAACCCTCACATCAAGCTGAACAAGGCAGCCCAGTAGGAGGAATGGGTCCCAAGAGCAGGCTAAAGAGTCAGAGTCCCCCCCTGAACTGCTGTTTTGTTGTCTCACAAAACCTACTCAACCACAGCATGTATGCAGAGGACCTAGAGCAGACCCATGCAGTCTCTGTGACTAAAAACAAATTATTATGGGGTGTTTGCTGAAGCCAATGCTCACTAGTTAACCAGAGTCCAGGTTTAAATCCCATATTGAAGAATTCTTGTGAATCTCCTGTTGTCCACCGGTGACTTGAAATTAGTCACAGCAGAAATATTTCACCATGATGATGGGACAATTGGGAAGTCTAATTTTCTTTACCATTTTTTTGTTTAGATAGTCCTAGATAAAAACATTTTTTAAAAAATATTTCAGATTTATAAACACTCTAAATTAAACTACAACAATATTTTTTTTGAGACAGGATCTCTCTATGTAGCCCTGGATGTCCTGGGGCTCACTGACCAAGCTAGCATCACAGAGATCCACCTGTCTCGGCCTCCCAAGTGCTGGGATTTAAAGTGTGCACCAACACACCTGGTGTCACGAGCCATTTCCCCCCTAAAAATCATTACAGGAACCATCACCCTGGGGGTCTGCAGGGGACCCCACACCCATAATTATGTTCTATTGACAGAACCTGCCCCACACCCAATTAACTGTTATCTGTTAGCGGAACGCGCCTCACATTCCAGCTATCCAGGGAACTAGGTGTGGCAACTCGTGACTTCTTGGCCTACATGACGAACCTGAACACAGGGGCTATATAAACAGCAACCATGATCCTAATAAAGGGGGCTTTGACAAATCTGCTTGGCCTCATTCTTCTGTCCTAGCTCATTCCCTTCCAGGTAGCGCCCCTTCGTGACCCTGGAATAACTGATTGCAGGGTGGGTTACAACCCCTAGACTAGTAACCCACCCAAACGCAATCGACAACCTGGCTCTTAAATACAAAATGTACAGGCTTCCCTTTGGTGAGGCCGACGATAGACAACTGATTTTGAAGGTAAAGATAATATGCCTGGGTTTTGCTGTATTAAGTAATAATACCTTATCGGATACAATTTAGTTCAGCATTAGAGGAACTCGTGCATTGTTGCATGTGTGAGTCAGCACTGCACCCAGAACAGGACTTCCCCTCAAGGTTCATCACGAGTTAAACACACCTTTATGCGTACTCACAGGGGACCATTGTCCCTCCCCGGTGCATACCCTGCAAGCCTCATAACAGCTGCAGATAAGCCGGGCGATAGTGGCGCACGCCTTTAATCCTAGCACTCAGGAGACAGAGGCAGGCGGACCTCTGTGAGTTCGAGACCAGCCTGGTCTACAGAGCTAGTTCCAGGACAGGCTCCAAAGCCACAGAGAAAAACAAACAAACAAACAAACAACAGCTGCAGATAAGTTAGTCAGGTTTCTGTTCAAGGTAAGCATCTTGGTCTTAACACAGATGACACTTCTATGGCTCATGTCAGGTGGTATTAACACGCCCACCCACTCACACTATTAACACTCAAGAAGTCAATCTGTGTGCTCCTCCTCAGCTCCTCTTCTATCTAAGAAATAAACAGAACACCCAGCAAAGAACACAAGATGAGAAGGAAGAACATATACTGCTTTCCCCGAAGCTTATTCTTCCACAACAAAGAGAATTGTTATGGTTTGGATATGACGAGTGTGTCGCCAGGATGAGGTGGACAAGATCATCAGGATGGAAGTCCTATGGATGAGTAACGGTGACTCTGTAAGAAGAGGGAGAGATGGGCACACACGCCATACACATACACGTACACTCACACACATGCATGCACACATGTAGTCACACTCCTTGTCTCTTATATGCTGTCCCAGGACTGCCAGTGAGAGGCCGCCATGCGATGTGGCTTCTCTACCTTGGACTCAGAACTGTGAACCAGAATAAGCTGCTTCTCCGGGTCTGAAGTTATGCTGTTGATGTCAGAGAATGGCCTAATTCAGAGAAACAAAGTTTCTACATATATCCAGGCAAGATATAGATTCTTTCCACAGAAATGGATATGGACAGGTTTGAATTGCTTGGTTAGTAACCGGTATAGACAGTGACTATTGTTACTATGAAGAAGAGTTAGTGTGCATGGCACCAGTACTCAGACATCACCCAATGGGCAGGAAGGCTGCAGAGACCCCCACCCCAATGACTCAGATATCACCCAATGGGCAGGAAGACTGTAGAGATCCCACCCCAATGACTCAGACATCATTATCCAATGGCAGGGCAGGAAGACTGCAGAGACCCCACCCCAATGACTCAGATATCATCCAATGGGCAGGAAGACTGCAGAGATCCCACCCCAATGCCAAGGTATAGGAAGTTTGTCTCTTGAGACAGTTTCTCACTCTGTAGCCCAAGCTGGCTATGAACTTGTTTTCCTTTGACTACCAGCACTATATTATACTATACTATACTATACTATACTATACTATACTATACTATACTATGTATGACCTGCATTTGTCTCCCCACCCCCACTTTTTTTTCCCTTAACAACCTGTTCTCTGGACTGGGCTGACGTGTTCCTGCTAAAAATACAAATGACTGTGATACATTTGTACATTTACTCATTCAACAAATATTTACTGGCTGCTTGGCTCTGCAGCAAAGAGTGTGCAGACCAGAGAAAGAGCAGATTGATAAGGGTACGTGATAATGGACTGTCTTAAACTTACTGGAGAAAAGTCACAAATTTGACTCATATGAATTTTACTCAGGGTTTGTGTGTGTGTGTGTGTGTGGTGTGTGTGTGCATGAGAGAGAGAGAGAGAGAGAGAGAGAGAGAGAGAGATTTGAGACCAGTAAAATTACTTTTAATAAAATCAAATATTAAGTCTATTTTTTAAAATTTTTTAATTTACTTATTATGTACATAGTGTTCCACCTGCGTGTATGCAGGCCAGAAGTATGCTGCGTGTATGCTGGGAATTGAACTAGGTACCTCTGGAAGAGCAACCAGTGCTCTAAACCTCTGAACGACCTCTCTAGCCCCAAGTATTAAGTCTAAACATTGCTTCTTTCATCTCTCTTTTATTCTTCCATAAGTCACAGCCACAGGATCCTTTTGTGAGACTATACCTGGGCATGGCACATGTACCTGTAATTCCAGCACTTGAGAGGTAGACAGAGAAGGCTCAGGAGTTTGTGGTAATCCCTAGCTACGTAAACAGATGGAGGTCAGTCTGTGCTACACGGGGCCTTGTTCCAGAAAACAAAACATAGACCATAATTTACTATTGTAAATACTAAATTGAATAGGTAATCCCAGATCTGTGGAAGGATTAAGAGTTTGAGGCTGGTCTGAGAAATATAGCAAGTCTGAGCTATCAGTCTGAGCTACATAGTGAGACTCTGTTTAAAAAACAAATGCTGAGTATAAGCAACACTCAATGCAAATTAAAGGGATTGTCCAAGTTACTGGCACTGTGCCTCATGAGAGTCCCGAAGCTCAGGGATGGAGGCTTTTATCCCATGGCTAGGATGTGAGCAAACCTAGAATGCTCTTACAAAGAGCATCTCACTGTGGGGAACAACGAACTCGCAGTACATTACAAAGCTCTCCTAGTCTCAGCATCTGTCCCCCCCCCCCTCCCCCAATGATCCCTCAAATCAGCACATCAGTTCTGCATCTGTAGGCCTACATGAAAGGAGACCTGAGTCTTAAGGTTCTAGAACATGTGAGGGAGTAAGGGGTCCTGGGAACCTGCCTCTTTCTTCACCACCCACCTCCAATCTGGTCAGGGCCCTCGGTTCTCAGTCCTAGAGATTAGCTTCTCTGGTGGAGGCTATCACAATGCAGCAACTTTCCTGTACTCAGTACTTATCCCAAGAGAAAGGCCAGGTTCTTCTTGCTAATGGATTTTGAGTTTCTCTCTCTTCTCTCAAACCTTCTTTCTCTTCTTTCTTTCTTTCTTTCTTTCTTTCTTTCTTTCTTTCTTTCTTTCTTTCTTTTTTTTTTGTGACAGAATCTCTTTCTGGAGTCCTGGCTGTTCTAGAATCACTCTGTAAACCAGGTTGGCCTGGACTGCCCAGAGATCCACCTGCCTCTGCCTCCTGAGTGCTGGGATTAAAGACATGCGCCACCACACCCAGTTTTCACCCCAACTCACACTATTTTTAGGAAGCAAAACAGCCTGGGTTTTTTTGAGTTCCTGTTTTTCCTGGTCACTTGTTTATCTTGGAGTTATCTCGTGAACTCCGGACAGATACCTCTGTGCACAGTTTCCTGGAAGTGAAGACCAGCAGTGAGCGTCACACATCCAAATGTAAGTGAATACAAAGTTGGGGAACACGGAGTCCAGACCGTCTCTCCTACGATGATTTCAACATGCAGCTAGTTCCCATGACAGAAGCTCAGAACAACACGTTCCAGGATCTTCTCAGGTTTGAAATTTAATTATAGAACACTTAAACTTAAAAATTAACTTGATAGGATGTGATCTTTTGACTTTCTGTGACTTGAAAATTTCACCCCCATGAGTATATGAGGAAGGGCCTGTTCCCCATTAAGGATAATCTGGAGAAGGTGTCGTCTTGTTAATGTTTGAATAGAAAAACGTGAGGGGAGAAGATGGTCCACTTAGCTAGTCTTTCCACCATCGTTAGAGTCCTCTTGGCTGCAAAGAAAAATACTTGTCACCAATGACTTTACTCCTTTCATTTTAAACTGCCATCAAAAGTAGGGTGCCGTGAATCGGGAGAAAGTATTCAGTCTTCCGTACGTCTGATTGCTTATTCTCATCAGCCAGTTCCTATCTCTCACTTTAATTCCTTTTCCATAAATAAAGATTGATTACACACGAACCGTTCTGAATACCTGTTGTGCACACTGGTCCAGGTGGAGAAGCGACTGTTGTGCCCTCTTAAAGCTGCCAGTCACAGGACGTCAGCCCAAATCCCCCAGGTGGTATTTGCCCAGATAAGATCATTATAAAACCTGTCAACTCTCTATCTCAGCTAAAGGGGGGGCAGTCCCCTCAGGGTCGGTACAGGACGCACCGGACATCAAATCCTCAGCTCAGAGGTTGATTTGCTACCTAGGAGGTGCAAGTGTTGGCGGGGCTGCAAAGACAGGCAGCAAGCTCAGCAAGCAAGCAAACAAGCAGGGAGCAAGTGTTTTTTGTAGGAGTCGGGTTTTTAAGGCGAGAAAAGGGGAGTCTGTGCTAGGGAGAGTTGGTAAGTCCTGACTGAACATATTAGCCAAACAATGAATTTTAATTGTTGGACCTTGATGGTTTGTCTCAGGAATGAATCTGTGGCCAAATAAGGGAATAGATGTTGGGGGCTAGCTTTAGGAATGGAATCTAATAGGTTTTAGCAAGAGGGAAAAGGGTAAAAGGCAAAAACCTGGTCAGTGCCATATTTCCCATGCTCAGGCCTGCGAGGGTCCTTCACTCAGGTTCTGACTGACATTTATAAAATCTGTTGACTATTTTGTCCTGCCTGGATCCCAGAGACTGCATAAAACCCGATTCCCAATTGAGTTTCTGCCACTAATGGCCATGACTCCCTTGGGTTGCGTTTCCTCTGAGCATGCTACAATATAAGGGAAGAAATGGAAAAGCAGGAGACAATGCACTTAATTTAGAGAAATTCTTGAACTGTGCTATAAAGAGCAGATTTCATTAGGAGGAAGTTTTCAGAAGGCATTGGATGGAGAAGGAAGTGGGAGCCACAGGGAGGGGCACCGACCAAAGGGACTTTTCACAGCCAAACTATGCACCAAGGAGGAGAGAAACGAAACTTGCAAACAGAAACAGACAGTTAAAGCTCCAGCAAAGGAGGGAAGAGAAGAGAAGCAGATGCAGACAGGTGGCGAGTTCAGAAGATGAGAAAACCACGGGTTTAGACAAAGTCGCCAGTAAGGAGAGGGGTAACTAGCGGCTGATGAAATCGATCGGGGCCGTTGGTTTGGACTGAGTTCCTTCGCTGAGCTCCACATGGAGTCGCTCCAGGTGAAGTTCTACACTCCCAAGGAAGTGACAGCCAAATGCACACACAGGCCAGCTTCAGATGGCCAAGACAAGGCCGGTTCCACCCTTGTGAGCAAGGAAGGTGTGAGCGAGGAAGGTGTGAGTCGGGAAGGTGTGAAACAATCAACTTGTTCCTTTCTAGCCCTGCTTGCTTGAGCCTTTCATTCTCTATCAACTTTCTTCGTTCAGCGCTTCAGACCCTCGTCTTGTAGAATGAGTGCCGCACAACTCTAGCATCACAAATCAAAGCTAAGATCTTTAGTGGACAGTACTTTGATCTGTAGACATAGCCGACCTAGTCTGGTACATCGGACCTGGTTTCTAAGCGTTTCACATTACTACAAGTAGTTAACATTCACAAGGTAGTTCAAAGGTACAGCCGCTGTTCTAAACTTAGTCCCCATGTTTAAACCTAGCAACACCCTAACTATTGTCGTACACTGTTTGTAAAAGTCTCGAAGCTGAGAAGAGATAAGACAAGGATTCTAGCTTTTACAGGCTGGCTCTGACCCTAGCCTCTAACCCTGCACAATTGTTTCCTCAGAGTGTCTGACCGATGTCGAAACAGTCAGCACTCAAGTCCTCAGAGTTTCTTTTCCCTTGGTGAGTAGGGGGAAGGGTCACTCCTAGCCCTTGGAGGGAGGTTAGTATGAGGTTCTACCTGTGAGTCACTGTGATGTGCCCATCTTCCCTGGATCCGCTCATAAGGTCATTTACTCTGTCCCCTCTCCAGAAGTCAAGTATGGAAGCTAGCGAAGGGGGCTCTGGGGCCCTTGAAGATGGGGAAATACTGACATAAGCTAGCTCAGTTCCCTTGCCAAACCCTCGGTTAACCTTCGGTGGTTTCAAGAACTAACCCGCTGATTTATCAAGCGGCTGATGTTCAAGAGTTATTTCAGTAGCTATGATTCACCCTCACTCCCTGATCAATACATGGCTGAGGTCAACGAGCCCATCAGGTGATGTTTATCAGGGTGCTTCCAAAACAAGCTGTCATGAACAAGAGTTGGGACTCCTTGTCACAGTCAAATATAAAGGAGAACCTCAGTGGGGGGCCAGAGAGATGACTCAGCAGTTGAGAGCTCGTACTGCTCTTCCAGAGGATCTGCATTCCCAGCACCCAAGTCAGGTGCCTCCCAAAGGAATGTTAACTCCAGCTCCAGAGAGATTGGACATCTCCAGCCCCCACTGGCACCTGCACTCAAGTTCACACACACGCACACACACACTTAAAAATAAGTATTAAAAAGGAGACTCTCAGCAAAACAAGAGAGGCTGGGTTTGTCTTCTTCAAGACCAGCAACCTGGCTAAGGAGGAAGCGTCACATTGTTGAAGACTAAGCAGGCTTTCTGCACGGAGCCGGTGGAAGAATGAGTATACTGTCATCCTGAAACTGGACTGGGGGATCCCCAAGACCAAAGTGGATTTCCTCATATTCTGGTTCTCTATCCGCAGGCTCCCAGTTGCAGAAATGTCGGTGAGACTAGAGCCCCCGGTTATGACAATGAGGAGCCTTCTGAAGACCAAGACCCAAATATAAACTCACTATGCTCAGGTTTGTTTAACTAGTAAAGCCCTGGCCCACTGGGCTCCAACTGAACTCTCGATCACTCCAGCTGCTGAGGGTGATGACCCCTGGGGGAGGGAGGAAGAACAGAGGGTGTGGGCAGAATGGACACTTGCCAGATTCTCTGGGGAGAGAGATGCCCTTCTTCCCTCATCTCCCACCATGCACCACGGTGCACACTGTCATTTGCTTGTGAAGGGCAAGGAAGAGGCTATCTGATGATATTAAATAGGGAACTGAGAAGGGAAAAAGAGATCTAAATGGTGTATGACCATTGCCTACGTCTCTGTTCTCCTGCCATAAAGGTCCTAGAAAGAATGTTCTGGATTTACCTGTGCCATGTGACTAAGAAGAAAAAAAATCCCAGGGGTGTAGAGTCTTGGCCCTAACATTTTAGAAGACTGTAAACTAAATATCTGAACAGAACAGGGCCTAGATGTTTCGTAAATATGACTTGAAATGATCTTGTCTAAAATAAGGGCAATTTGAAAACTCTGAGTTGAGTTTCCCAGGCTCGGCTTTTGGTCAAGTATTGCAGTTGTTTAGGCTTCCTGGCCTCAAGTTTAATTTAAAAAAAAAAAAAAGTGACATAATCCTCCTTGTGAGCTCTGCAAGAAGCAATCAGCCACCTCGTGTCCTGAGTGCCGCCCATCGCGGAGACGTGCTGAGAGCTCTAAAATACCCTGGTGTGTATCTCAGAAGACAGATGTGACTGCAGTCTGGTGTGTATCTCAGAAGACAGATGTGACTGCAGTCTGGTGTGTATCTCAGAAGACAGATGTGACTTCAGTCTGTTTCATAAGAAGCTGCCAGAGCCATAAAATCACAAAACTGAAGTGCTCAGAACCTGTGAGACGCCATTGTCCTGTTTCTCATTTGTACAATGAATATGCTGAACGAGAACATCTTTTAGTATCCTCACAACTGTGGAAGTCCCCAATTAAGCATGCACATATAATAAAGCTATACCCATGGCATAGCTACGTAAAAGAAGTCCATAAAGAATCAAGCTGCACTTTATAGTAAATAAGTAAGCATTCTTAAAGGTTTATACGACCCATCTTTTCTGTCTGTCTTTCTTTCTTTTCTTTTTCTTCCTCCCTCCTTCCCTCCCTCCCTCTCTTTCTTTCTTTCTTTCTTTCTTCCTTCCTTCCTTTCTTATTTTTCTTTCTTTTCTCTTTTTCTTCCTCCCTCCTTCCCTCTCGCTTTCCTTCCTTCCTTCCCTCCTTTCTTTCTTTCTTTCTTTCTTTCTTTCTTTCTTTCTTTCTTTCTTTCTTTCTTTCTTTCTTTCTTTCGAAGTTAGCCTCACCAGAATGTGAACTCAAAAGCGGTCTTCAGTTATGGTTACGATTGTGTGGTGAAATCCTATGGCCAAAAGAAACTTGGGAAAGGCTTACTTGCCTTAAACTTCCATTGCACTTTTTTAAGATACAGATAAAATCTCAAGCAGATTCCTTTGCCTTTTTAGGTCCCCAAACATCTGTCACATGAAAAGCTAGGAACTGTTTGGGACTGAGGCTTTAGTTCGGTGTCAGCGGCCTTACACAACATGTGTAAGGCCTCGGTGTGTAAGGCTTCGGGCTTAATTTCTACCAATAAACAGAGTTCAAAGCAGTTTAGAACCAAGGTACTGAGATCCCAACTTTATGCTCCCAAAGTCCTAGCTCAGGGTTGCTTTGCTCTTGAAAACATCCAGGGGTGGGTGTGTGCGTGGGGGGAGGGGGTCTCAGTGTCTTTGGTTTTTTTTTTTTTTTTTCTTTCTCTTTAATCGGCTTCCTTTATAATTTGTAAATGTTTTTAGCCTTCTCGGGCGAACCCCGGAGAGGAATAATGAGAGAGACTGGACACAAAATAGCAGCCTCTTTCTGTGGTGAGGCTTGTTAAAAAACGCCACACTCTACCTCCCGCTCTGGACAGCGGCCCTCGTCTCTAAGCAGCCTTCAATTCCAAACTCACCCTTCTGTCCGAGCCCTTTCTCTTGGGCAACATCAATTTCAAAGATGCTACTGGCTCCTACTGACACTTGCTCCTGGGACACTTTACTGGTGAATGATCTCACTTTAAAATCTTTCTCTCGTGACTGGAGTTGGGAAAAGCAGCCTCTTGGTGCCTAACGGGGAGAGAAACCTAAGGGGCGAGGCCTCCGCTGCGGACTGACTTCAGCATCTTCTCCCTTAGTAAGACTTCTATCCTCCCACCTCCCACACAGCTCACAGAGAGCTCTCTCTGTGATAACTGTCTTAGATAATTGGCTGATTCTGTCAAAAATGGGTCTTGTCTTTCAACGTGTTCTAATAGAGGGCTCTAGTAAACCCAATTTGTCATGAGGGGGTGTTTGACACTTACTCCTTTTTCCTTAAATCAAATTCTAAAAATGCTGAGCCTCTGGGCTTGGAGGAACTTAGATGTCTCAAGGGTCAATTGTTTTCAGGTATGGCCAGGATTTCATAAGAAACATCTCTTTGGCTCAGGTTCTATTTAAGGAGTACTGGATTCAGTGGTGTTTGCTCTAATTCAAACATTTATAGGGGAAAAAATAAGTGTTATGTCTAACACTGAGTCTCACCAATTTCAACAAATGAGGGTTATTTTTGTTTGGTTTGGTTTTGTTTTCTTTTTGTTTGTTTGTTTGTTTGGTTGGTTGGTTTAGGGTTTTTTTTTTTTTTTTTTTTTTTTTTTTTTTTTTTTTTTTTTTTTTTTTTTTTTNTTTTTTTTTTTTTTTTTTTTTTTTTTTTTTTTTTTTTGAGACAGTTTCTCTGTGTAACAGTCCTAGCTGTCCTGGAACTAGCTCTTGTAGACCAGGTTGGCCTTGAACTCAGAGATCCACCGGTCTCTTCCTCCTGTTTTTTTTTTTTTTTTTTGAGACAGTTTCTCTGTGTAACAGTCCTAGCTGTCCTGGAACTAGCTCTTGTAGACCAGGTTGGCCTTGAACTCAGAGATCCACCGGTCTCTTCCTCCTGAGTGCTGGAACTAAAGGCGTGCGCCACCAGTGCCCATCGGTTTTTTTTTTTTTTTCAGAAGAAAATAGAAATAAGATCTAGTAAAATAAAAACAAAAAGAGTATTTTGAGTTGACTCAGGCAATGAATTCCATTTACTCAGCTTTTAGCTTTTCCTTCTGTATGAAGTCTGACAATAAATGAACCTTATTGTCACAGCTCATTCCACAGTCTGCATGGCGGCTTAAGGAAGCATTCTGTAGTACAACTTCCTCTTTGTGGAGACAGAAGAGGAATGGTTTCATCCAGGAAACTCATTCTTTCTGTTAATGATCTATGTGTGAGGAGATCTATGCGTTAGAGTACCCCGGCTGGGGGCCGCAACAGTTGGATATGTAAGACGCTGTTATTCACCGTCCCTACCAGATAGGATCACAGTGCCAGGTGTGTAAATACGGTTCCTCCAGGGGAACACTGGGGATTCCACTAACTCACAAATAACGACTTCACCCTGTCCCACAATGACCCCTTTTGACTCGAGACACATAACTAGCTTCACTCCTAAAAGCAACCTGAAGGTCAGCTTGTTCGTTTACTATTCATCCAATTATCAGAGATAAGAAACAAGCGGTCCAGCTCAGCAGATTCGAGAACAATCCTTGAACAGCTCCCTTGTGGAAGAACACTACTCTGCCACCAACATTCCAGGAAATTTAATGAATGACTGGATGCCAGGGGCCAAAAACCAATTATTTGGCTGTATTTTATGTGCACTGGTATGAAGGCGTCAGATCCCCTGGAACACACAGTTCCAGACAGTTGTAAGCTTCCACGTGGGTGCTGCCGATCAAACGTGGGTCCTCTGGAAGAGCAGACAGTGCTCTTAACCGCGGAGCCATCTCTCCAGCCCCCAATTTATAGCATATCTAAACAGGAAATCCATCACCCCGAGGTCTCTATTACTCAGTCCATGGTTAGTCTCTGCAGTGTCTAAGCGCCAGTTCCCAGACCAGAGGTTCTCAACCCGTGGGTCCCGACACTTACAGCGGTTGCAAATCATGTCCTGAATGTTTGATAATCACATAGACTGCCAATCTCATTTTGGCACTGCACTAAAAGGAAAACTGTGAAATTGGGTTTATTTAAATGTTGTTTAAGCGAGAGAAATAAGAGCAGTTTAGACATTCCCCCCCTTCTCCTTGGGAAATAGCGTGACCTACAGTGGATGCTCAGTGACGATGGCCCTAGCAATAAAACAAGCATGGGAACAAACATTTTCAGGACAGGCAGGCCACGTCACTGCAGCACTCGATTCAGAGTCAATTCTCCAGTAACCCTTGTAGCCACACCGCATAAAATCCCGGAAACGGTACAGCCTGTCACCCTGGTCCTGCCCTCGAGGGACATGTTTCTGTTACCACCCTCTATCATGGTAAGACCTTCTCTGGGCATTCTGTTGGCTCCGGGAGTAGCTAAAACCAAGAGAAGCTTTAAGAAAGAGCCTGTGTTTAGCCTGGAGTCTCAGATGAAGTGTGAATTAACCCAGAAGTGTAGATGAGAACAGCTGACAGACCACACACAGGAAAGCTGAGAAATGCGACAAAATACAGATACTTCAAACAGTTCGATAAGATTGACAGAAAGAGGACGGGGTGGGCGCTGGTAAACAAAGGACACACAGAAATCCCTGAAGATGGTTTTGTGAGATGCGGTCATGAGGATCACCCTCCATCAAAGGGTTTGTGAAAATGAGTAGCTAAGTGACAGATATGGTATTTAAAATACTGGTTACGGCACGAAGAACAGAAAGGAAGTGGGGGCAGCAAGATTAGGAGGTTGTCACTAGGTGGGGGAAAATGATAACCAGAAGGCGATGGACAAGAACTAATGTAGTCACCGGACATACGGAATATGGCACAGGATGGTGGCAAGGATAGCGCTGGGGTTCTGATTTCAGCCACTGGAAACTCTGGGACCATTCACTTAGCAAGGGTGGCAGCTGGAGAACAGACGAAGGCATGGACGCCAGAAACTCTGTGCAGGAAATGCACATTCGGAAATGCTGGTCGGAGGCATTCTACGTGGAGATTAGCAGACTACTGAACTTCGATTTTATTCTCGTTTTACCGTTTTGTCCTATTGCTCTTGCCATTGTGGCTTTACATAGTGTCTCACGGCGTAGCCCAATGCCTCAGCCTTTTAAGCACTGGGATGGCAGGCATACGCCACCAAAGTCAGCCAGACTATTGAACTCTAGGAGAATCCATAGCGGGCTCTAGAAAATTGTGGTGAAAAGACAGATACCACAAAGCCAGCTCAATTTTTCATGGTCAACAGTATTATGCGCTACTTAAAGTACAAGCTAGGTGACCCTGGTGGGAAGGAGCCTTGATGTAGCTAGTGGGTTATCAATGCTGGGAAGGTGGTCCAGTGGGAAGGACTGTTACCATTTATAAAGAGGTAGTGGGGGACCCGTCCCAAGAGGGGCGGCAGTGGGTCACCAGAGGCCTCCATGGGAGACAGGTAGGTATGCCAGGCAGAGGGAGTTTGGGTATAGAGTTTATTTAGGGGGAAGGGAAGGAGAAGGGGGAAGGGGAGAAGGGAGGAGAAGGGAGAGTGCTACTTGCCTTGGCAGAATCAGGAGGTTGGGGTGGGCGGGGCTTGCCTCTTAAAGGGACAGGGTACCCAGGTGACAAGCCAGGCCAGCAGATTCCAGCATTCCCATCTTTTTCTTATAATAAAAAGGCGGGGAGTTAGGCATAGCAGACTGAAGGAATTGGGACAGCGGATTCTCAAAACTGCTTCCTGCTTATTTGTGGGTGTTGAAGTTTTTCTTGTGGGGGGGGTCTGAGATAGCTGGGTGCTGGTCACATCCTGGGGTAGCTGGTCTTTGGACCTGGCAGAGCAGAGGACAAAGTTAAGTTTAGGTAGAAAAAATTTTTTCAGAACCAGGGAATTCACCTGTTTAAGGTAAATCTTTCAATTTGGCTCCCTGGAACGCATAAGAATTTTTTGAGTTTGTGAAAACAAAAGTTCTGG